CCACAACAGTGCCCTGGGTGGGCGAGGATACCTGGCCTTCTTCCCTGGGCTGGGCTCGCTCAGCAGGACCGTGGCACTTCCATGCTCTGACTTTCATCTCTACACGTCCATGCACCTTAGTGACGCTGACAGCTGTGGCTCAGCATCTTTGTTTCCAAGTATGGAGAGTGTTTATAAGTACCTTGTGAGCCACCTCTTACCTCCACACACTCAGGAAACTCGCAGTGAAAAGACAGCCCAAGGACAGCAAAGCCCGAGGCCAGACGTTCAGTGCATAGAGCTTTCTGCAGCCCACGAGCAGCGTCCTCTGGTTATAGCAGAAAGTATAAGGTGGGGTTGAAAGCTATTGGGACTGCTGGAATATTAAAAAATTAAAAACAGAAGACATTGAGTCCTCCCTCCTGAGAGTCATGACTTCTGGTTTCCTGCTGGCTAGATAGCAGGCACTTGGGAAAGGGACTGACTACTAGCTAGATGGCTGCATGTGTGGGACTCCAAGGGTGTTCCAAGGGCATTCTGGCAGCTCTTGGGGACACTTTTTGACTCCTAGAATTGCCCTTTCTTTCTCATTTCTGGCATCAGCTGCCTTTGAACTTTATTGGTAAAAGACAGATGGCTGTTTGGGGAGCTGAGGGGCACTTCCAGGGTTTCTCTCCTGGTGAATGGACTTTGGGGACCCGCTGTGTCCACCCTTGGCCCTTCTGTTACTTCCTTTGGCAGTGTTGCGTAAGGTCAGATTTTTTTTTTTTTTTTTCCGGAACTGGGGATTGAACTCAGGTCCTTGCGCCTGCCAGGGAAGCGCTTACTCCACTGAGCCATCTCCCCGGCCCCTTATAAGGTCAGATTTTGATGAAGCAGAAGAGGCAGTCTCAGGTGTTTGGAGGGGAAAGTTGCCTTGGAAGAATCTGTCTTCTGGCAGTTTCTGGGTCCTCGAGGATGTCAACTTTCTTGTGGCCCCTCAGAGTCAGCAACATCGGACAGAGTCCTCATGGAAGGACCGTTAGGAGCCATTGCGAAGAATGTTTCATGTGCTTATGGAGCCAGATGTGCCAGTGCACCAGACTCTGGATTTATAGACTTCAAGTTAACACATGCAAAGCCTATCTTGATGGCCTGCCCCTTGCCCCCCATTGCAGGAACCTCGCTGAGCTTCAGCCCACCCTACCTACCCCCACTGTCCCAGAAGGCAGCTGAGCTCCCGACCTTGCCCCACCTCACCCCCAATCTCAGGAGCCTCACTGAGCTGTGGGCCATCCCCCATCATGGCAGGAGCCTTCCTGAGCTCAGCTTGCCCATCCCCCACTGTCATGGAAGTCACACTGAACCCCGGACACTGAGAGCTTTGGTGAGCCCACCCCCCAACCCCACTATGGCAGGAGCCTTGCTCTTCCCCTTATCAACACTGCTGAGCTTGGGTGAACTTCTTTAGCTTCAAAAATGTCAAATGAAGGAGCAAAAGGCAGTCTCAGGCTTCCACCCCATCCAGAACACCCGTCTCCAAGTCCAGGAGACAAGGAAATAGAAGAATGTGGGAGTCACGTACCTGAAACCTCTGAGATGTTAGCAACTGAAGTCAAGAAACAGCTCCATCAGGCTATCCAATAAATAGGATCAGGGCTGGGGAGATAGCTCAGGAGAATAAGTGCTTGCCTGGCAAGCGCAAGGGCCTGAGTTTAATGCCCCATTCCACAAAAAAAAAAAAAAAAAAAAAAGAATAAATAAGATGAGGAATAATCACAGGTTAAAAAAAAAAGAAAGAAAGAAAGGACAATAATTATGAAAGAATTACTCAGCACATCTAAAAATGATATAGAGGGCTGGGAAGATAGATCAGTGGCATAAACACCTGCCTGGCAAGCACAAGGTCCTGAGTTTGATCCCCAGTACCAAAAATAAATAAATAAATAAAAAACAGAGGAGCATGTAAAAATGGTGGAAACATTGAATATGCAGGAAAGAATGCGTGAAATAGATTCAAACAGATATCCAAGAAATTAAGAATTCCATTGAAAGTTGGAAAAACTGCTTGAATGAACCTGAAGGTAAACATTCAGACCTTGAAGGCAGCCTTGCGCCTGGCAACTGTGGAAGGAAAGGCCTCTTAAAACTGCCAGGAACCAGGAAATAACAACGGAGCAGCTGTAAGATGACACAAACAAAAACAACAGGAGACCGATATGTGTCAGCAGAACAGCAGGAGTCGGCACAGATGACATTCAGACAATTTGCAGAAGTAGTAGCAGAAAATCAGTGGTACACGTGCACCCAGGTTTACAGCAGCACAGTTTGGCACAGCTAAGTCTTGGACACAACTCAGCTGCCCATCAACTGAGGAGTGGATAAAAAAGATGTGGTATTTTTACACAGTGAGTATTACTCAGCTACAGAAAAGACAAACTTGAGGCTTTTATAGGTAAATGGGTGCAACTAGAGACCCTACCTTTAAGTGAAATAGATCAGACCTGCATGCAAACACATTGCATTGTCTTATTTCTGTAGGAACCTGAAAGAGTAAATAAGGGAAAGAATCTTCTCAAAGGAAAAGAACTGGGCAGAGGAGAAGGACTAAAGAAAGAAAGAAGGAAGGGGAATGATATATTCTGCATATATCCAGGGTAGCGTGGGTAATTGCGCTGCTGGTTTCTTCTGGTCTATTGAAAGGAGCAGTTAAGGCTTAATTTGTTTTTCTCTTTTTAAATGTTTATAACTTTTTGACCCATTTTTCATGCTCATATCTGGTAATCTGAACAACTAATTTGAAGATAATAATGTACAATATAACAGCCACTGTCAAATTCCTATTATTTTCTTCAGTGAAATTCTATATTGTATCTAATGTTTTACTTTTTACTGTTTTTATTCTCTTTTAAAAAATAAAAAGAAAAGCCAAAAGAAAAAGGGAAATTAAACAGACGGATGTCATTAATTGCCCTCAGAACCCCTCCCTCACTTGGAGCAGGTCTGTCCTGCCCTTCCTGCCCTGCCTGCTGCCGCTCTGCAGTCCTCATTCTTGTGGGTCTGAGCCCCACGGTTCTAGATGTCTCTGTGATCCGAGTGGAATGAGAATGTTGCCCTAGCGTGGTCCTTTGACTTTGGGGCAGAGCTAGCATCACACAGTGGCCAAACTGGTGACAGGTGCTGAGGCTCCTGTCCCTTCCGTCAGACGGCACCCTGCTGCCGCAGTCATTCTCCCGGGCGTCTGTGTGACCTGATTTTCCACCTGGGTAGCCGTGGGGGCCAGGGTCCTCGCTTGCAGGGCTTTCGCTCCACGGTGGGGCTCTGGGCCCAGCAAACGTCCCGTCACCCTCTGTGTGTGTTCAGGGAGAGCCAGGACAGGCCAGAGAGGGCAGTGGAGCCCGGCTGAGTTGCTGCGTGGCGGGCCCGTGGCTTTCTGGCACCACAGGCAGGGCGCCCAGGTTTGGAACTTGGGGAATCTCGCGTCTCAGAGTTCGGCTCTTCCAGGGTCTGAGATGCCACTTTAGGCTCTAGGTCAGCTCCAGCCCCCAAAGCGCTGACGGTGCTCAGGGGACATCGTGTCCTTCAGAGAATGCGGCCCACGCTGTTGCTGCTCCTGTCCTTCCTTCTGCCTGTGCCTGCCCATCCCCGCCTCTAGCAAGGGCATGGTGGCTGTTGTCTGGGGGCTTCTGCGTCCTCAGGACACCAGCGCTGATGCAGCCAGGCACACCAGAAGGCCGGTGCCCCCCACCTGAGAGGCCAAGGACAGGGCCCTCGGGCCGGTGGCCTTGGGATGTCCCTAGGCTCAATGCCTGCACTCCAAAGTGCTGGCCGACGCCTCCTGCACCGCAGCCGAGGCCTGCACGGCTCCAGCCTCCTCATGAGCAGGCCTCTCTAGGGATGGCTGTTTTACTTTTTCCCTTTTGTACTGGGGATTAAGCCCAGGGCTTTGTACTGAGCTACCCCCAGCACCCCCATCTTTTAAATTTTTCATTAAAATTTCTTGAAATTTATTTTGAGACAGAGTGTCATTATGTTGCTAAGCTGCCTAGGCTGGGCTGCAACTGCCTCGCTTGGTCCTCCTGCCTCAGCCTCCCTTAGATTGCTGGCATCACAGGCACTCAGCACCACACCCATATTTCCTCTTCCTTTTAAAGAAATTTTCCTTTTTTCATTGAGGATCAGCTGGGGGAATTGGAAGTGAGATGTTTTGAGGTCTCATGAAGAAGACGGTGGTCTGTGTCCGTCCCTGTGTGGCCATTGGGACAGGCAGGGCACTGGGCACTGGGTGGGCGTGCTGGCCCAGCCACAGGGCCCCTGTGAGCAGGACGGAGTGGGGGGCTGAGTGTGGGTACTCTCGGAACTACCCCCATGCCCCTGCCGGGGGGAACAAGTGTCCTCGGGCCCAAATGACCACCACCTCCCATGTATTTCCAGTCCCTGAACTCAGCCATGAAGCACTTCTGTGAGATTCTCACCGCCGACCCCGAGGGTGGCCCAGCCCGCATCCCGTTCGACACCTTCGCCTACATCTACCGCTACCTGTCCAGGCTAGACTCCGATGTCAAGGTGCTGGACACGGAGTCGTACCTCAACAATCTGAAGGAGAGCGTGTGAGTGGGGCCAGGGCTGTCGGAGCATGGTGTCCCTACCCACTCTCCTGTGCGACAGAATCCTCCCAGCCTGCCTGCCAGCGAGGGTTGCGTGTCCTGATTCCCCCTGGCTCTGTGGCTGCGGCTGCACTGTAGACCGTGCCCAGGCAGGACTGAGGTTCACTTTTCTTAGATTTCAGGAGCGCCCGAATCCTAAGTTCATCTTGGTTCTTACATACGCTAGATCAGATGCTTTAAAATGACCCTTGGTCAGGGTGAGCGAGGCAGGATTCTCCTCACATGGCAAAGCAGAAGTGGTGGTTACTGGGCTCCCTGACCACAGGCCCTCAGAGTTAGCTGCAGAGACGGGGTGCATCGGTGACTAGCAGTCCTTGATTTTTTTTTTTTTTTTTTTTATGTATTTGGTACCCGATCTCACTACACAGCTCGGATTCATAGTGATCTTCCTGATTTCAGCCTCCCCAGTGCTGGGATTACAGGCGTGCACCACCACACTTGGACTCTGTGGTGGCTCAGTGGCCAGGGGCAGGGCCAGCGGGGCATGCAGTGTGGGGGGATCAGACCCCAGTCCCCGTGCTTGCCTAAGCAGATGCTTAATCCGCTGAGCTATCTTGCCAGCCCTCACAGTCCTTGACATGATAGATGTTACATGACATGTTCTACCAGGGGTGATCAGAAACTCTGGTGTTCACATGTCCAAAAGCTGCAGGATAGAGCTGGTCAGATAGCTGAGCAGATTAACGTGCCTGCTGTGCTGGCCCCGACTCCAGGGTGCCTTGAGAGGGCCATCGAGCCTGGGCGTGGTGGTGCACACCTGCAGTCCCAGCGCTTGGCAGCGTGAAAACAGGAGGGTCAACACAAGTCTGGTCTACATAGTGAGACCCTGAATACTCTGTACTAAATACATTAAAAATAAAAAATAAAGGACACAGTAGCACGGATCCCCTCAAAGACAGCGGAGCAGATTAAAGCTCGGTGGCCCCGGCTGCCCCTGGGGACTGCTTGCAGGCCCGCATTCTGTGGAGTGGTCGTTGCCTTGTCCTCGTTCTGTGGAGTGGTCGTTGCCTTGTCCTCGTTCTGTGGAGTGGTC